TCTCAATTATCTCCCGAGCAGAGGGGAGGAAACTGTGATGCATGCTGGGAATATTGTGGGGTTGTATGTCTAAAATGTCCCCATGTCCTTCTGCTATTACAGTCTCCCATTTGGTCCCCTAGGGGAGTGTCCACCAAGTGGGAGACCTGCATAAATACGGGCAGGTAGCCCTCAATTTGTGTTTTACCCTCAAAGCGGAGCTTGGTCTCGTTATTGGGGGGATTTTATTACCGGCGACTAGAGACTGCTCATTGGGATTATTTGCCGCTTGGAAGATATTGGTGTTCGGCTAATATTGGCAATTCGTGTATTTGGAGCTCGTGAAGGGAAGGAGCCGTACAGGTACCGTTCGGGAGTTTGGAGTGTTCCCCGGCTGGCGATTCGCATGGTTATACTGCATATGCTACCAGACCACATTATTGCGAACGGGGAGCATTCACTAAACGGCGGTTTGTACATTTATTACTGGAGGTACCGTAACACAGTCTGTCAGGGATCGGTCTCATAGATTGGTCACTACAAGTAATGGTGCAGTCTGTCAGGGATCGGTCTCATAGATTGAGAATGCTTTCCTATGAGACTGGCTGAATGCGCGCATGGCTCTTGCCGCGCATGCGCATTGTCGATGACGGCAGAAGAAGGAGGAGATTCCCCAGCGCCGAGGAAGCCCGGCGCTGGAGAAAGGTAAGTGTTTAACCCCTTCCTCATCCTAGAGCCCGGCTGGAGGCGGGCCCTGAGGGTGGGGGCACTATAGTGCCAGGAAAACGAAACGAGTATGTTTTCCTGGCACTATAGTGGTCCTTTAATTCCTGGTCATATAGTCCATTGGCCGAGCGTGTCCTCTCTGATTGGACAGATATAACATTGGTAGGGAGCTACAGAATAGACAGGGAAATACAGCCATGTTAGTGAAGTGTACAATATGAGGCGTATAAAGATGCTCAGGGTATCTGTAAATTTTAGTTGAACATCAGATTTTTATTAATTTCCTGTGTACACGAAGCAGACCGGAACGCAGGGCCGGATTAAGAGCACAGTGGGCCTGGTGCTGACAATTATGATGGGCCTAATTACGGAATCTTATCGACCAAATACACTATAACAATCATACCTCCCAAGTGTCATGTATCTGATGGAGATGGTGCTGGAGGGAAACTCATAGGATGCAGCTATAAGAAAACACATACTCTATGCTAATCTCTCTCTAATTTATGCTTTCATCTTTCAAGTAAATCCATAACCCCTAACAGCAGTGTCCAGTGAAGTAGGAAGTCAATGGGCGGGGTAAAAGGGTGTGCCACTGGCGCGAATCACATGACAAGACCTGCCAAAAGGGGTGAACATGCCCAAAAAGGGGGCATGTTTGTCCAAAGAATTGGAAGGTCAGCCTGGTGTGAATGCATGTCAGGCTGCCTGCCAATCCTGCAGGCTGTCCAACTAAGGGCATACTATGCAGGCAGCACCTTGAGCTTGACATAAATGCGTCTAATGATGCGCTCACTCCATTCTTTCTAAGGACTGTCCCATAGCATTCGCTGGTGCACTTGTCTCCATACCTTCTTACTAGCAGGCAGAAGTTCCTGGTATATAGTCTGAGACAGAGAAAAGGTGTCTGTAGTGAGTGTAGAAGAAAGGGGACATGCCACAGTGTTAGAGAGACCAACGTCTGCATTACCTAAATTAACTTTGTCAGCCAGTGCACACAAGTTTTGTTCCCATACATCCCTCTTAAGCTTCCAAACTTAAAGGTACACTATAGTCACCAGAACAACTACAGCTTATTGTATTTGTTCTGGTAAGTAGAATCATTCCATTCAGGCTTTTTGAAGTAAACACTGTCTTTTCAGAGAAAATAACTCCACTGGCCGCTCCTTAGATGGCTGCTAGAGGTGCTTCCTGGGACAGTACTGCCTAGTGTGCAGCACTGCCATTCAGTGTCTCCACCCTCTGCATGCAGACACTGAACTTTCCTCATAGAGATGCATTGATTAAATTTATCTTTATGAGGAGATGCTGATTGGCCAGGGCTATGTTGGACTTGTGCTGGCTCTGCCCCTGATCTGCCTAGTTGACAGTCTCAGCCAGTCCTATGGGGAAGTATTGTAATTTGTCAGACCACCACTTCTGAGCCAGCAGCTGCAGAATTGAATACAAGTAATATTTTACTATATTTAGGGAGGCAAGAAGGGGGCAGGGTGGTGGTTTTAACATAATAGGGTCAGGATTGTGTTCCTGACCCTATAGTGCTCCTTTAAGCAATAGTATGTGAAGAGTAGTTAAGGTTTCCACCTTTCTTGGGAAAAAATACCAGCCTTAATCATTTGTATAATTAATTAGTTATGCGTGACATCACATGATGTAAATCACAAGGAGTGATATCAGAGAAAATTCTGTAAAATCACCAACAAACTACTCACAGTTTGATTCTGCTGTATAGATGGATTGCCCCCAGTGTCTCCTTGTCTCCCAATGTCTCAGTCTTACAAGTCACCTAGTGTCTCAGTGTCCCTATGTATCACAGTGTCAGTGTCCCCATGTCGCTCAGTCCCCTAGTCTCCCAGTGTCTGTGTCCCCATTTCTACCAATGTCCCAGTGTGTCCCCATGTCACTAGTATACTGGGGCACTGAGAGACATGGGGACACTGAGAGACCCGGGGACACAGAGAAATGGGGACACTGAGACACTAGGGACACAGACACTGGGAGACATGGGGACACTGAAACATTTGGGGACACTAAGACACTGGGGACACAGACACTGGGAGACTAGGGGACACTGGCTGGGAGACAGACACTTGGCGACACTGGGAGACATGGGTACAGTTGTGGACATAGACATGTGGACACTGGGAGACATGGGGACACCAGGCACACTGAGACACTAGGAACACAGACACTGGGATACATGGAGACACTGAAACATTTGGGGACACTAAGACACTGGGAGACTAGGGGACACTGGCTGGGAGACAGTTGTGGACATAGACATGGGGACACATGGGGACACTAGGCACACTGAGAGACATGGGACACAGACACTGGGAGACTTGGGGACACTGAGACACTAGGGACACTGGCTGGGGGACATAGTGTCTCCGTGTCTCCCAATGTCCCTATGTGTCTCAGCGTCCCCATGTGTCTCAGCGTCCCCATGTGTCTCAGCGTCCCCATGTGTCTCAGCGTCCCCATGTGTCTCAGCGTCCCCATGTGTCTCAGCGTCCCCATGTGTCTCAGCGTCCCCATGTGTCTCAGCGTCCCCATGTGTCTCAGCGTCCCCATGTTTTCCAGTGTCCCCATGTGTCCTAGTGTCTGTGTCCCCTAGTGTCTGTGTCCCCATATGTCCCCAAGTGTCTCAGTGTCCCCTAGTGTCTCAGTGTCCCCATGTTTTCCAGTGTCCCCAAGTGTCTGTGTTCCCAGGTCTCCCAGTGTCTGTGTCCTAGTGTCTCAGTGTCCCCTAGTGTATGTGTCATCATGTGTCCCCTAGTGTCTCAGTGTCCCCATGTGTCCCCATGTGTCTCAGTGTCCCCATGTGTCTCAGTGTCCCCTAGTGTCTCAGTGTCCCCATGTGTCCCTGCTGCCTTTCCCCCCATCCCTCACTTACCTGAGCTGTAGAGCTGCTGTCTGGACTCTATGCTGTGTAGCTGCTCCCCCAGGGATCAGTGAGTAGCAGAGAGAGGCAGGGATATTCTGTAACTTCCTATCCCTGCCTCTCTCCACACACAGTGACCCCTACTGGCCGGTGCTGGTATTGCAGAGTAATTTCCATTTATTCTGAGAAAATAACCTGCATTTGTATTGCTGGTATTACTGCAATACCGGCACGGCCAGGCAGCCTCAAATACTGGCTGTGCCATTAAAATACCAGTCAGGTGGCAAACCTA